GTATTAAATGTATGTCCATGTCAACAATGGGTCAGCAATCATAATAAGTTTGGAAAACGATGATAAATTCTTTATTATTACTCTGATAGAGGCATCAAGCTTGTGAATCAGACATCAGTCATCAATCCCTTTAAATAACGAGTGATTTGAAATTTTAGCTGGATAGATAATAATTTAGAATTGGCTAACTAATGATTAAATGTGGTAATGACATACCTGAACCTGTACCTGTACCTGTACCTGTACCTGTACCTGTACCTGTACTTGTACCTGTACCTGTACCTGTATGTTTACCTTATACTTCTGAAGATTGGTTCGCATATTAGCTTCAAGTGTTCCTTGATTTATTACTTTATTATAAACTATCTTGGGAACCCAGCTTTGCCTTGAAACAAAGTTTCCTTTATAAGACTTTAACCTATTTCGTTTAGAAATTTTAATCTTTCCTTTTAACATTCCTGTGGTTCTACAGAGTTCCTCATTCAAAATTTGAGGCTAATCGGTTAAGGGGTTTCTGAGTTATGATCGGACATTTAAAGACACAAACAAAGATTACTATAGATATATACACAAATTTCATAAAAATCCTGATGTAAATTTTGATTTGTCGAACCCTCAATCAATTCTATTGAAAAATGTTTATCCAATTATTCTCCTTTAATCAGAACTAATTCATCCACGATTAATTTCAAACTTTTATTTTATAAAGTAATCCCTGGTTTAGAACAAACTTTGGAATTAGATGAGGAGTTAGAGGTCCCGGAACCTAGTTTATCCAATCCTGCCTCCTCCTTATATTCTGGACCTGGTTCATGTAAACCGGTTCCTAATTTTACTTTTCTTGAGAACGGTTCTTTGTAACTTTTAGAGGCTTGATTATACACTCCAGAATTGTTTGGGTTAACTAAGTGTTCTGAGATGTATTTATCTCCAGGAGAAGGTTGAGTACTTGCAGTAAACCTAGTATTTCCCTCATCTATATTCAGAGTATGCTGGTAGAGTGCAGATCTGTCCTCACCTTGATTATTTGAGGAACCATACACGCCATTCAATAGTTTTCCTTCTCGACTAGAAACATACACATCATTTAATAGTTTTGCTTCCCTGCTACCTTTTCCATAGTTGTCGATAGTTCCAATGGTAGAATTCCCCGCCTGTGGTGGAAAATTGTCTTGATGAGGAACTGTGGCCGAGGCTTTCAAGGCAAATCTTTTTTTAATAGTTTATCAATAAATTAGAAGGATTTTAGGCGTTATTTCAATTGATTCTACCATTCATAGAGCAATCACCAACTAACTAGAGATGGGCACGCTCGATATTTTTATTTTGTTCGTTCATCTTTCGTGATTGGCCTATTTCGTTAGTTTTTTTGCAATCACTAAAAAAATGTATATCTATTTCGTTCGTTCTCAAAATTATTGGTAATTTTCCATCTAATTCGTTCGTTTTCTCACTGAACGATCATTCTTTTATAAAAAAATGTTTCCGAAAAAATCGTTCGTTTAGTGAAAAATTAATTCTTTGATTAGAAAGTTTGTTCCAAAAATTCGTTCGTTCAGTAAAATATCCATCGTTTTGAGGCTTTTGAAAAATTTGTTTGTTCAGTGAAGGATCGTTTTTTCAAGTTTGTTCGAAAGATTTCAAATTGTTTATTAAAAAAAAAGATATTTTTTTTCGTTTCTCTGCACCATCCATTTCATTCGTCCATTGTTTTTTTTCTGAACAATCTCCCTTTTTCACGAACATTCTTGTTTGTTCAAAAAAACTATGCCCATCTCTACACTTTAACCCCACTATTTCTTTAGACAGTTTCATAGATATTCACAAGGATTACACTTAATCCACACCATATTCGGATTAGTACTTACAGAAGGGAATCAATTCAAAAGTTCCCACCCAGTTTTTTTGTAAAACTATCCTGGTTTCTTTTAGATTTCTAATAGCCATATTATCAGAGGTTGAAACAGTATCCTTGGTATCCCTGGTATCCCTGGTATCAACTGTATTGTCTACAGCTTGTAAAGGTCTTGTGTTAGACATGTTGACTAATTGAAATGTTTGTCCAGAACTACATTTTTCATTTGAATTTCCTTCACCCTCTAGCCTGAAAACATTAGTTCTTTAATTTTTATTTTCTTCATGGTTAGAAAATCCATTTTAAGTTAAATTAGATGCTCTTTTAGTAAAGTTTTTCCATTACAAATTCTGCTTGTCAACTTGTATATTTATTTTACTAAAATAGAGCTCACAGAATAATCTGAACACGTCAAGTTACCCTTCATTTATAGATTGGCATGTTCGATTTGCAATGGTACCCTTTAAAGCTTTGTGTGATCAAGAATTGAATGAGATATCATGTTTTTAACTTTGACAATTGTTTATTTTTTATTAAGGTTTCTTAATATCAAGTGATTTTTGCTTCATACTCAATGTCTGAATCTTAACTTCTCAACTTAATCAATAAATAAATAAATTCCAGATTATCAATCAATTAAAGATTTAAATGGTACCATTGTGCATCAGTCTTGCCTGTTTCAATAAAGGCTCAAAGTCCCAATAAAAAGTAAATTTTCTTTTACCTTGTTTCAATTTTGTGTCTGCCTCTGTCACTATTTTCACTGTTTATATCACTCATTTTTAGTTTATCATTGAATACATTCGGAACTGTATCTTCTTTTTTATCATATTGTCCGTTCCTGTTTTTTGTTTCACATTGCGCCCCAAACTTCACAGAGCTTTTGCCTAAAATTTAAATTGCGGTTATAAACCTTTATTTTGATATTATGGAAATTTAAATGTATAAATATTAAAAACTTTTACTCTGAAAGAATTTGAAAAGTTGTGGTAATCTTTCTATCTAACAAATATGACATTGCAAAAAATATTTTTGTTTAGGGTAAAATTAAATTGATTAAAGACAATGCACGGAAAACTGAATTAAAGGAGTAGATATAGATTTGTATGTGACATTAGAAGTACGACTTTGTGACCTGCTCTAGTTTTGATTTTACGAACATTTTTGAGAAAAGCAAAGTTTTTCGGTCAAATTTTAGAAGTTCCAAACATTTTTATTCTTCTCAATATAACTCCTCAATAAGAGGAATTATTGATTAAAGATATAAGATTAATGTTACTTAGAATTTACTTTGACGTGAATAGAAATCTCTCAAAAAGAAATGAGATACTTTTTTTCTTTAGATAACTCCAATACTATTTAATAAACAAATTGGGTATATTCCTCTCAAACACAACTAAAGAGACAAGCCATTAATTAATTTCAAACAGTGGATTTCTAAAAAAGTGGGCAGTGGACCTAATTTAGACTCCCTCAGAATTTTGACATAAAAATTAACCAAAATAATTTTTTTTAATTCCACAGGGGGTCTTTTTTAGCATTGTTACAGTAATGTTATTCATTATTGTAATCGTAACTTTTATGAGATTTGAAAATAATTGGTTTTTATCTTGCCTCAAACTCTACTTTTTAATCAACTTTAACTTTAAGACAAGTTAAGAAATCTTAAAATCTAACTATTTAATTTCATGCCTTCAATTCAATTTGTTTTTACAAACTCTAAAAAGGAAAAGTCAGACCATAAACAAGATTTAGTAGAATAAATTCTAAACAAAAACAAATTGAGATTAAGCACGATTTTCCTTTTATTTAAATACTGATGCAAACTTCTAAGGAATTGAGTTTATGCCACAAGCTCAAATTTCTAATTTCTATATATTTTCAAATTGACGGGGTAAACCTTTTATATTTCAAACTCAGACTATTTAATCTAACATCAAATTTATAGTTTGAAATATAAGATGTCCTCAACAACAAGTTGCAAAGATATTGGGACTAGAAAATCAGAGTTTGTGGAAGAAAATCAATTCCTTTTAAAAGATTGTGTAAACAAATAGTAAAATCTAATTCTACTGTTAAAAAAATGTTTTTCGAGCATTAACCTTGAAACTAGTAGCAAGAAATTAACCTTAACACTAGTAGGAAGAAATTATCTTTAAAACTAGCAGGAAGAAATTAACCTTAAAACTAGTAGGAAAAAATTAACCTTAAAACTAAAAGGAAGAAATTAACATTAAATCTAATAGGAAAAATTAACCTTAAAACTAGTAGTAAGAAATTAACCTTAAAACTATGTAGGAAGAAATTAACCTTAAACCTAATAGGAAAAAATCAATCTTAAAACTAAAAGGAAGAAATTAACCTTAAGCCTAGTAGCAAGAAATTAACCTTAAAACTATGTAGGAAGAAATTAACCTTAAACCTAGTAGGAAAAAATCAATCTTAAAACTAGAAGGAAGAAATTAACCTTAAACCTAGTAGAAATAAATTAACCTTAAACCTAGAAGGAAGAAATTAACCTTAAAACTAGTAGGAAAAAATTAACCTTAAAACTAAAAGGAAGAAATTAACATTAAATCTAATAGGAAAAATTAACCTTAAAACTAGTAGCAAGAAATTAACCTTAAAACTATGTAGGAAGAAATTAACCTTAAACCTAATAGGAAAAAATCAATCTTAAAACTAAAAGGAAGAAATTAACCTTAAGCCTAGTAGCAAGAAATTAACCTTAAAACTATGTAGGAAGAAATTAACCTTAAACCTAATAGGAAAAAATCAATCTTAAAACTAAAAGGAAGAAATTAACCTTAAGCCTAGTAGCAAGAAATTAACCTTAAAACTATGTAGGAAGAAATTAACCTTAAACCTAATAGGAAAAAATCAATCTTAAAACTAGAAGGANTTCTGCAGAGCATTTTTTAAATGTAAACAAAAAGAACATGTTCACAATTTAAATAGAAGATGGACGCGAAGCGCCCTAAAAGCCTAGAAAGAAGGGCGCGAAGCGCCTTGAATTTCTATTATAATATAAATGTTTTAAATTCTTTAAAAAATCAAAAATCAATAAACATGCATTTAAACACAAATGTATGATGCATGAAATAATCAATATTTTATCTTTTTACAATTTATCTTCTTCGACAGTCTTGTGACAAAAAGGAACTGAGTTTTTGCCACAAACTCTGATTTTATAATCCCAATATTTATGCAACCTGATATATGTCGTAGATGTCGTGAAATTTCATACTATGCATTGTGTTAGATCAAATGTACTAAGTTTGAAATATCTAAGATTTACACCATCAGGTTGAAAAAATACCGGGATAAGAAAATTTTTCTTTGTGGCAAAAACTCAATTCCTTTGTCCACTGAATGAAAAGAACTTCGTTTTTAATTGAAAAATACAATTGTAAAAAGTAGGAAAAAAATATATCAAAATCAATATATTGTGCTATAGACCAATCCCAATCGTAAATGGTGCAAACAAATGTGCTCCATGGAAAACAAAAACAAATCAGAAAACAATATTTTAAAGTGAGACTTAAAAAAAAATATTTACAATTTTACAATATATTTCTACAATGCAAAATGAATTGAAATTATTTCTGGATCAGAGGATCCAAAAAAATACGGTTTCCGGATCCCGAGTATCCTAAATAATGCAGATCTGGATCCAATTGATCCCAAATATTGCGGATCCGGAACACGAGGATCCCAAATATTGCGGATCCGACCGGAACACGAGGATCACAAGTATTGCGGATGCGGATCCACAATACTTTTTGTTGTTGTAAAAATGGTCCTAAACAAATAAATTACATTTTCGACCTTTTCATATAATCTTCCATTAAACCATTTTAAACCAATTTAAACCAATTTAAAGAAAGGAATTGAGTCTTTGTCACAAACTATGATTTTCTAATCTCTATATCTTTGTAACCCAATGCCGTAGACCTTAGATATTTTAAGATATAAATTCTGTTAGATGAAAAAGTATAAGTTTGAAATATCAAAGGTGTACACCATCAGGTGGAAAAAATATAGGTATTAGAAAATCAGAGTTTGTTACAAAAACTCAATTCCTGTAAACCAATTTAAACCAATCCAATTTAAAACAATTTGAACCAATTTAAACAAATTTAAACAAATTTAAACAAATTTAAACAAATTTAGACCAATCGATAACACCATGCACACTGAAACACAGCATACACACATCTAGAAGTCAAAATGTAAACTTTTGCATCATTAATCAAAATTATGCCGCGTATTTATATAATAATAGATATAGTTTACAAACATTTTGTCGAATTCGATTTCGCATCGAGGGAGAAATACATATCAGTGTTCAGACATATACGGGAAAACCTTTTTTTTTTTTTATGAATGATCAAAATTTCAAATATTTGTCTACATCAAAATTCGATCTTCATTAAATTTTTGAAAATTTTGAAAATCCACGAATTTTTTTTGTGAAAATCCGCGAATTATTTTTGTTTTGTTTTACGATGTACTTAAAGAGAACATGTTCACAATTAATTTAGAAGATGGGCGCGAAGCGCCCTATAAGGCTAGTTTAATAAAAATGCCACGATATCAAGGTTCTTGAGATTAAATAATTTCCTTTGTGGATTATTTTGAATAAAGGGTAAATTAAAATTACAATTTGCAAAACAAAGTTAACTTAAAAAAAAGTATGGCTCACAATTTTCCCCAAAAATATAATGTTCAATCTTTTACTTAATATTTACCAACTAGCTATGATTTCCTTAATATTTAACTTTGAATCGGTGGTTCAAATTTGAATTGGCAGTTGATAGTTTAGCGACGTAGCTCAAATTTATGAAATTTGGTTCTATAGTTAGTGTAATTTCGCGTAAAAAAGTGATGTTACCTCCAGTATGCTGCAGCTGCTAGGATTATGAGTGTGAATATAAGACCCAGAATGCTACCAATAATACTTGCAAGGGTCAACTCACCTAAACACATACAGGGTTATCCACTACACAAGGGATGGGATATAACAGACGACTGATTCATTCATTTTTTACATTCATGGTTCCCCGCAGCTGTGTTTCTATCTCAGTGAAATAGATTAATACATCATTATTCAAGGACTTTATTTATAGGTGTAAGATCAAGTTATTACTACAAATCTTTATTTTTAAACGTACATTGTTTGATCTAACATATTAGATCAAACAATCCAAGTTTGAAATATCAAAGGTGTGTACGATCAGGTTAAAAGATATAGTTTGTTTTTATGGCAAAGACTCAATTCCTTTGGGAGGAAAAAAATCATTCAAATAAGATGAATAATAATAATATCTTTAATTTCAATCCAAAATGTCCTCTAAAATTAATAAAATGTATTGTATGATGGAAATATATCAGAATCAGAAAAGTTTCACAAAAATGATGGAAACATGTGTCGACTCTAGACTCAATTTCAAGTTTCCAATTTTCAAGGGATTTGAAAGAGAAAATAGATTGAAGTTTGGAGATTTGAAATCTCAGAAGATTGTAATTTTCTTCCTAAGGATTCAAGATAAAGGAGAATGGTTGACACGTACATAAAATAAAGAATATAATAAATAGTTTTGATTCTCAATCTAGAATATCAATGAATTCTTGGTGTATAAGAAATTGTTCACTATGCATAACAGAATGATAGATCTTCATCTTAAAGGGACTGTAAAGGGAAAATGAAAGGGGATATAAGATGAAATCTGAGGTTCTCAGCTTTTGAACGATACCATAGAAGACATCTATCTGATGTTCGTGTCTCGAGAAATTGACATAAAACTGTGTCGAAATTATACCAAAACGGGCATATGCCAGATTTGGTATAAAAGTTGTAGTATTAAATACATCATATTAAAAAAATACGCCACCAATATAAAAACGTCTACACCTATGAAAAAGCTGAGAACCTCAGTTTTGCTTTTAATATGATTTATTTTAATTTTTCATTTTTTAGGTGTTCTTTAAATGTTTAAGAAAACTTGAACTATTTTGCGAAAAAGAGATCAACACGCGGCATTATATTTGCACTGCGCAGTGCGCACCCGTACAGCTTGGAGCCGTGTTGAACATTCTAAACAAAAGTAAAACTCCAAACTAAACTTGGAAATGGATCGTTTTCATACTATACCCCCTTTCATTTTTCCTTCACAGTCCCTTTAAGTTTATAATTTGTCCTGCGAAAAACGAATTTAAAAACAATGGAAGGCACGGTCCACGATCTAATTCATACACAAAGAATATGTATGATTACACATACAGTGAAAGCCATAGTTCTGGAAGACAATTTTAAGACTCAAGTTTTGACTTAAAATATTCAATGAACATGAGACATATCATTGTACAGTTTAGACGGACCCATTTAATAAGTGATTTAATAAGTTGCAAATATAACTGTTTGATTTGCAAGTTTGTAACAACAGCAAAAAAACGTAATTATTGCTGTAATTTCGTCTTCCTTTTCCACAGTTTTTTAGTGTTCACTTCATTAATATTGTTAATTCCAAGAAAAGATTGAGCCGGGTAAACAAAACAAAAATAATAATTTTCCCACCTTCCTCGCGGAGATGAAATATTGCTCCATCTCGTCCAATCTCGTTTTCAACAAAACACTTAAAATAAAGAAAAATATTAGATTGTCAACATAAATTGTAAAAGATAAAGATGAACAATGCGCAAATATTTTTCTGTTGCAACTTTTTATAAAATTTATTTGTGACCTATACGCTACAGTGGGGGTTTTGGGGGCATAGTATACCCCCCCCCCCCGCGAGGAGAAGTGAAAACTTTGATTTGGGGTTTCAGTCCCAAAACTGGAATTATAATAAAAGTCACAAACAACAAATAATTTATACTGTTCTACTTTAACTTCATTCAGGGAATTATAAGATTTCATATATATGTATAACTAAGGTACTGCAAGAGAATCGACATTCTCTTTTTTAATAATTCCTATCTTTCCAACCTAACGGCGCAGTGTGTAACTTTGTTATTAATATTTGATTTAACAGAATTCATAGTTTAAGATATCTAAGGTCTACGACATTGGGTTGCAAAGATTATAGGGATTAGAAAATCAGAGTTTGTAGCAAAGACTCAAATATTTTTGATTTGTAAATCACCACCACCACCATTGAAATAGTTTTTGTAGGCATTCTCTTAAATGTAAAAATTAACCAAAAGTCATGTTTTTCTTTAACTTATTTAAAAACAAATATTTGCTAAAAATTTATGGTGCAATCATATTTAAGTAAGTCGTGAAATATAATTTTTTTCTAAATTCATTTTACAATCATTTCCGTAGTTCCTGCTTTTTAATAATTTGACTATTTTTATGACCTTTAATAGTTCTGAGTAACCATTAATAATTTAGTATAAATTCTTTGCAGTAATAAATAATTCAGAACCTAATTAACCGGTTAAATTGGAATATGAAAATCGGAAAACTCTACACTCTCAGATTAAATAATAATTTGTTTGAATAGGATTGTAGGGCACTTATCTGCACTTGTAAGAGTTTAAAACTTAAATGTTTTTATCTATTAAATACTATGTGTTTAGTGCAACCCTATTATAGAAAGATAGTAATGCCAAATTCACATAACTTGCTTTTAAAAAACAATAGAGAAATTCGGAGATATTTTTGAGTCGAAAAAACGTGTCAAAGGTTCCGTTGTAAATCGGACTTTACTCTTTTTGCATAGGGTTACTTAAAATTACGCTTACAGTCTCTTTAAATGTTTTTAATTATTTTTATTTTACTCTTTTACATAAAATATCAATCTATAAAATTAAACTTTCAGAAAAATGCTCCTAACATACTTTGTTAATTAATTCATTCCATCCAATTCGATCCCAACCGTTGATATTAGGGACAGAAATTAACCCATGGTTGTTGGAAACCATAATCAAGAATGATACAGCCAGGAAGTGTTAATTTATCATTATTTATCTCTTATATTTATTACTGCATAGGGTAATTAAAATAACAGATAGGACACTAGATGTCGTCTATTCAAGATTCCTATGTGTTTCCTTCACAATAACTCTAAGGCAGCAGCCCAAAGGAGATAGGCGTCGTTGGCGTAGAACAGGCTCTCTCTCTGGTTTGTTCTACGCAAATTGCAAGTAACTCGTTTGGGCTGCTGCCTCAGGGTTATTTTAAAATTAACACATAGAATTCTTAAAAAAGACGACATGAAGTGTCCTATCTGTTATATTAATTAAACTATGGATTACTGCTTTTACTGCAGTACACAAAAAACTTGCAGCAGTTCACAATGACACCGAAAGTTTATTTTCGTCCCAAAATGTACTAACGAGCCCGACTCCATCGGAATCAGAAAATTGTAACCCTGCATTTAAAGTCTCATGTTGTATGGGTAACCCTTAATATATTCCTTGCTCTGAGGCGGACTTTAAAGAAATTGAGCCGCAGCTTGAATTAAGGATGCGTCTCAAATATGATTGGTTTTACTTATTTACTTATTTCAAGATTTAAGCCGGCGCTCAGAAACCAGTTTTCGGCGGATTTGAGACGCGGCTCAAATTCATTAAATTCGGACTCTGACCTCATATGTCCCAAAATCCTGTTGTTGAACTGCTGGTATAACCAGAGTACTCACAAACTCAGTTCCAAACTTCTCATCAAGAACCTCGAAAGGATCAGGGTCTGTTCCAACTCTGTAGCCCTAGAAAACATCCTTAAAAAATGTGAAACATATGTGAATCGGTCATGCCATTTTGTAAAGGGAGGGTTATTTTAAGTTACGTATTCCGTTATTTTGTTCGGAATTTGTTGTACTTAATCTTGATGTTATGACTTTTTGTTTCTAGAAAAATAAAAGACAAATTAAAATGAATTCTTAAAATTAAATACTTAGAATTTAAGGATTTAAGAATGGTTTGAGCATTTCATAAATGAACAAAACACTTAAATTTCCAAACTATAACGTTATATGTCTTTGCAACCTGATCGTGAAGTAGAATAAGTAAAATTTGAAACCATTTACTACGTGGCCGCAAACTTAAAAAATATTAGAAAATTTTTCTAATTTTTTTTAAAAGATCATTCTACAAAATTTTAATTTAACTAATGATGCAGTTTGCAGTTTTTACATTTGAACAAAGAGTCATAATGTTTTGCAATTTATTCTTGTGAACTTTTGTAAAATATGAAATTTGTTTCATGCAGATATCAAATAAATCAAACACAATATCATATTTTATAATTCTGTGTCTTAATGTGAACTTCAAATGAAATTAGCAAAGACTAATACACAAACACTATAACTATTGATAACACTGTAATTTTGGTTCGCAGTGTTTTCAAGTTTTTGGACAGAAATTTTCTCTTTACCGAGATGTTTTCAGCCTTTATTATATAACATTTTGTCCCAAGCTTTAGAGAGGGACATAATATAATCCAAAGTGAGAACCTTCGAGATACAGATAAAATTTAAGTTCAAAATTAAAGTGTTATAGGTAATTTTATGAAAGTTTTGTGTACTTATTTTAATGACTATTTCTAGATAAATAAGCTTTTTTAGAAATAAAAAATTAAAAATGTAAAGTTAATTTAAATTCTATTTTCATTTATGTTGAAAAACATTTTTTGGAAATATCCTAAATTTTTGGGAGAAAATCCTCGGAAACCAATCAAACCTTTATAGCCCACGTGCTATAATGTACAGCTAATTTAAACTTTATGGCACCATGACGTGAGGAAGAATGATTTAGTACACAATAGTTTCGCAAAATGTAAATGGAATCAATTCTTACAAGAAAAGACAATTTAGAAAAGTTTGAAACAACTTTTATTTTTCAATCTCAGGTTCCGATCCAATTTCCAGTTAATCTGTTAAGTTTGATACAGTGAGAACCAGAAAAAATGAACATGAGACACAACAATTGTGCAGTGTAAACAGGCCAATTTCACTTTATAAGTATTTTGATAAATTACTAATATAAAACTATTTGCTTTGTATAATGTATTTGTAACATCAAATACACTCCTATTCCACAGTTTTCTGGTTCTCCATGTGCGTAATTAGGTCTGAGCACGATTTCAGTTTTATAAAAACAGTTCTTTCTATGTTCGTTCACAAGGTTGCATGACTCCGAATCCAGGATTTGCATATTTTTACGGAACCAACAAATCAGGTGAGGTTATAGAACTAACCTTTCTTCTCCAAGACACTGAACCATGATTAGGGATCATCTCTCCTGTACATCTTAATAACAAACAATACCATATTTACAGCTTAATACATTACTAATTTTGTCTAGCGAGTTGAGCCCAAACTTCATTGCTATATAGCTCTTCTGACGCATGTACACCTTTATCATTCCTTACTCGTTTCCATACAGAGTTCCTTACTTAGCTGTTGTCGGAAAACTACCCTGGTACCTAAGAAACACACTTTTCCTTCCTCATAAATAAATGATAAATGCTTTAAAGCAGCGGGAAGCTTTGCTCAAGTTCCTATTAGAGAGAGAAATCATTAAACAAGTAAGCTAAACTGCCGTTTTAAATCAGAAATTGACTTTAGGACACGGAAATACAGCGCTACAGTTATTAGAAATAATCCATTTTTTATTTTTTGTATTTTTATTTTTAATTTTTATTTTAATTTTTAATTTTTATTTTGAAAAATCTTTTTGGTTGTTTATTCTTGTTATTTTTTTCAAATTTTTACAATTTTTTTTTATCGATTTTGATGGTTATTATATCGTTAGAACTGACGAGGGTCAACCCAGACCGAAATATATTTTCAATAAATGTAGAACTAACATCTACTTTTTTTACTCTACAGAGGTTTGGTCCATCACCATCACCGAATTTTGAATCCATGTATTTCCGAATTTTTATTTCTCAAACTAAAATAAATCACTTGGAAAAATAGTGTTATTCTTGAAAATTTTAACTTAACCCTATTCCTGCTGGGGGGGGGNTGGTTTTCAAGTACCCCAGCAGGGATAGGGTTAAAAATTAAAATGTAATATTAATAATTAGAAAAAAGTAGAAAAAAACGATGAAGTTTTAACGGTAATTTGTGTTGTGACTTGTCAAGGGCAACTTTGATGAAAAATGTATTCGGAAAAACATGAATAATATTTTAAAAAGGTGAAGGATTGTGAATTTTATTTAAGGAGAGGAGACATAAATCTTGATTCTTCATTTTAGGTTAAATGATTCTATTAAAAGTAAAAGCTTACTTTGCTGAAATAAATTCAATTTAAATTTGCCATCACTGATGGGAAGGGAGAGGAAGAGGGTGGGAGAGAGAGTGGAAGAGGGAAAGATATAGAAAAAATCTGTTCAGCGATTTTCAAAATGTGTACAAAAGAACTGAGTCTTTGTCACAAACTCTGATTTTCTAACCCCTAGATGTCTAGCTTTGCAACCCAATTATGCAGATCTGAGATATTTCAAACTATGAATTATATCAAATGTTATCAAATAATGTGTGAAATTTCAAATCTTTATACCGTCAGAATAAGAGATAGAGGGATTATAAAATTTGAGTTTGTGGCAAAGGCTTAATCTCTTTAAATCTTAAAAAAGCACACATTCAAATAAGTTTGAACTTGATTTGATATGACTTTTTTACAACAATAGTTTTTCACTGGTTATAATTCCTGTAAATGAACTATTTAAGGGGACATTTTGATTAAAGACATATACTTTTAAATCTAATATCATAATATGATATAGACTATATAATCTTTATACAGAGCTAAAAACTTTATCATTTATTACAATCGCTTAATCTGATTATCCATTGTACACACTTTTGATTTTCTTCTTAATCCTCTTTTTAGATATTTCTACTGTATAAAAATTACGTTTGATAATAGTTACAGATACAATGCTATATCGATTGGACTAATATCCGATTGAATTAAAGTCAGCGGTTCACAAGCCTGCAGTTAGAGCATTTAAACAAATATTAATTTAATAATGTTAAAAAAAAGTTTCCAATACCGATTCAGACATAAAAACAAAATTGTTGCATGAAAAACTCGTTTGTTTTTAAATAGGCTTTTGCTAATTTAAAAAATATTAAACATTGCAAACATTGGGCCGTAGCAACAGATTACCAATCTTAATCGTAAACTTTATAATCCCTATATCTTGTAACCAAAATGGTGTAAACCTTAAACATTTCAAACTTTGATTTTTTGATCTAATGTAAACTTTATAGTTTGAAACATAAAAGGCTACGATATCCTAGTAGTAAATATGTATTTATACATAACTGAACAAAATATATGAATTTGTTTCTAGAAAACATATTTTAATTAAAACCAATAAATCCACCGCCTTGTTTTATTATTTTGTTCCACGCTAGGATACTGTAATTAAAACTGTTTAAAGTTTAATCTGCAAATTATAAAATTACACATTTAAGCTCATAAATTTTACATTTAATTAAACCACAATCCTAGAACATGATTTCCCAGTCCCAGGATCGAGATAAACTTGTCAAGATTCAGTGACTTATAAACAGTCCTCGTCGTATGTATCAATACAATAAAGACGACTTTCTATTTCAATTTTGATTTCTACAAATTTCTAACTTTACAAACAAATACACTTATAAAAATTTAGAGGTAAAACATGCCTTGCCCACGTAAAATATACCTTGAATATAAACCATTAGATACTTGTCCCGCAAAAAAAAAATATCCCGCACTTTATAAATCAGCCGTACATTAATAGTTAAAAAAAAAATTTTAATTTGTTTTTACCGATTTTGATGGTTATTTTATCGTTAGAACTGACGACGGTCAACCCAGACCGAAATATATTTTCAATAAATGTGGAACTAACATCTACTTTTTTACTCTACAGAGGTTTGGTCCATGGCCATCACCGAATTTTAAATTAATAGTTAAACACACTCTCTTTGTTTACTGGTAAACTTATAATTTGAAAAATGCTTGTCAGGAATCAAAGAATTATTGACAAAAAATCGTCATCATTGTATTGATATAATCACCGACCACTGGATTCTAATATATAGATCAGCTCACGTCAAACTAAGGTTAGCTGCACGCAAGATTAAAATCTTACATTAACGCCTAATTAAGGTTTTGAAACTAACAAAAATGTTCTGAAATCCTATAGTATGTCCGGATAAAGTTGATTTTCCCTTTTTTGTGCAAAAAATCAAAACTAGAGAAGCTTAACTTTCACTGTAAAACTTTAGAATTTTAGCCAAGCTTAGAATATTTCCGTGGTTTTACATTACTTAGTTCCTAAATCTGAGTTCATGAGTTAAAATAAAACAAAAGACAAGACATTACTTTTTAATACAAATAGTTTGAGACTTCAATTCTAAAGCATTTTCAATTGACAAGATTCAGAAAAAAAGTTATTTTTAGAGATATAAACATATAGCTATTTTTTTAAAATAAGTTCAGAACATTTTATTTTGTTTATTTAATATAGTATTTTATATATATATATATATTTGTATATTTATACCTACTAATAAATGGTTCAGTTTAGATATATCTTCTGTCTATATATATATAATAGTTTGTCTGTTTGTATGTCAAATGATAACTAAGGAACGTACCTGGGCCTTGACCGATTTAACTCAAACTTTTATGGAGACTCTTTTGGTTTGAAAATTTTAAGTTAAGTGGATTGACTTTTACAGCAAAACGTATTTATTAAGGCAAAGCTGAGTGACTAATATATTATTTTCCGAAATACAACTTTAGTAAATTTATTTAAATCTATGTAAATATGATTCAAGAATAAACATACAATGGTTCAAAAGTGGAATAAATATTTAAATTTAAATAAATGTTGATAAATCTAACCTTCTCCTTCATGGTTCTTTTATCCAGCCGTATTTCATATTTTTAACAAAACTTTTTGAACTTTTATTTTCTTCAGAACTTGAAAATATTTACCTTTTTGTAAAAAATCATTAATCTATTTTTGTAGCTCTGGATTTCTTAGCATACTGCATAATAGGGATTGAAAGCTTTCCATTTCGTTCACATAAAATTCTATAGGTTGGAAAAATACAAAATAAAAAATAATCTTGATGAAAAATAAAAATGTTTTTTTTTAATGATTGCATTCAGTACAAATCCAAACAGTTCAATAAGACACGCACCTCTGACCCCGTAGTAAAAGTAAATTTAACCTAAAGTCTGACCGCGTCAACCTTGTTGCACCGGCTAGTCCTGTTGAGTGTCTGCTTTATTTACACAATGTCCGGGCGATACAGTACAAAGTGGGATCGGAAAGGTTGACCCAGCTCGGAAATTTAAATGTACTATACGGCTGCACGTGAAGATTGCAAAGTTTAAACGTTTATTTATTATTCGTTGTTTGTAATATAAGAGCATCGTTTCTGTAATTTTATACACATTGAAGGTTATATCTGATACAGCTAGGGAATTGTGAGCGTAAAAACAAATTGACACTCCATCATGAAAAGATGGCAATGTCCAATTAAAATCGGTATCCTTCTCAAGCATGAATTAATACCCATGTTTAAAATTTTAAGATTTTAAAATTCAATTTAAGCAGTTATTAAGGTTTTAAGGGTACCGTTAAGTGAATAGGACAAAGTAATTTGAATCAGGAATTCATGATGTATGATCGAACAGATAGCAGAGATATAGATAGAAACAGATTGCTCAATTATGCATAGCCATAGTACGGTCTATGTTAATAATTAATAATGTTAATAATATTTCTAGTAACCGGGTTATGAAAACAATGGTATTGAAGGATGAATAAATACATATATTGGGATAAATGTAGACTGAACACTGAAGAAGGTAGAATAAATATTGATGTCTGAAAACTCAAACGAAGTGTGAAGGGGGGGGGGGTTATTCTAGTATTTAAAATATTTAGACTATAATTTCAAATGTAAAGGTATAATGTATGTGACATCATTGGTACCACTAATTGTGACCTTTTAGTTCCTCTAGTTTTGATTTAACTCTTTAATATAAGAAAATAAAAATGTATCCGGCTACATAGCAACCCTTATATAACCCTTATTCTATCAACAAGAATGGGTTCACACCCTTTGCTAATGGTGGATGTCAAAGTCTACTAAAGTCAACAAGAATGGGTTCACACCTTTTGCTAATGGTGGATGTTAAAGTCTACTACAGTCAACGAGAATGGGTTCACACCCTTTGCTAATGGTAAATGTCAAAGTCTACTACATTCAACAAGAATAAATTGCTACTTTTTCTGAATCAATATGTATTCATAAGTTCAATGAATGCAGTCTTGACAATGTTCTGATTATTTAAGCGCTGACCAAGCATTTACTTGTAAATCCACAATGAATGTATATTCAGCTGAGATTTCAATATGAATAGTCTGTTTCAACAAATACCGACCAGAACACAAATATTAAACATCATATTTTCAATTGGCTAATAATAGATTTTCTTTCGTGTTTTATTTTAAGCTGAAGCATCATACATTTTTTTTTTTATTTTGTATTTGAAAATAAATACTATAAATATACTATATTAGCAATTCAAAACATGTTTGATATAAATATCATAAGATCGGATATAACAAAAACATGTTTGATATAAATATCATAAGATCGAATTAAATAAAAAAACGTATATTTCCTTTAATTTACTTTAGCTCTAATGCGTGCTTAGTCTACAATTATCAATATTGTATTAACCTTGATAATTGTTATTTTAACAACGTTAAGTTTATTGGCGCAGGCATTTTTTTTAGGAAAAAAATGATGATGTACAACATTTCGATGTTCAAAACGTAAAATTAATTCTTAATTATTTGAAGCGATTATTTGTGTCATCTTTTATCCACTTGGACTAATTATGGGATGAAATGCGTTCTTCTATTTAAGTTTTTATGAGCTTTGGTCTGTTACTCAGCAATCTTTAAACCCCATGATTAACGAATAAGTGCTAAAGAGAAAAAGACTAAGACATTTTGTTTAATAGATATAATGGTGATATAAAGTCGCAGCTGCATGATCTAATGGAACAAGGTCCAATGTAAAATCAACATGCATTAGTTGATTACAGAGTTTTCAATCCGGAATTTTGGAGATATTTAAAGCAATTAACTCAATCAGTGGAACCTTAAAAACACGGGATAGAGCTTTCAGAAGAGAGTAAATAAGTCTATGACAAAAACTCAAATTTTAAAACCCTTTGGCTAAATTTTCAAACTCTTTGTTATCAAATGGTGTACACATATGATTTTCAAATTTAGATTAAATCCGACAGCATTCATTGGGTTGCAAACACATAGAAATTAGAAAATCAGAGTGTGTGGCAAGAACTCAATTTCTTTACAAAAACAAAGTTTCAACTTTAGGTCTAATAAAAATCTTAATTTTGTGTGAGAATTCTGTTCAAAATATTAACAGTTCGTGAACTATCTAAATTACAATTTGTCATATTTCATCCTTTTAATTTCCCTCCTATTTTAATTATAATCCCTTCTAACACTACTTAAGCTTATCTCTCTGCAATCCCTTATTACTCTGTCTAATCTCTTTAATAAATGTATTAATCTCAACTCCTAGAAAAGTGTAAACTGATTCCTTTAATTTCATCTTTATTCTTAACTAACTTTAATCCTCATTATACTACTTGTAAATGTAATCCCTGTAAGCCCTATAATCCCGGTAATTTCTGTTCCCTGTAAGTCCTGTAATCCATATAATCCTGTAATCCCTGTAATCCCTGTAATCCCTGAAATTCCTGTATTCCCTTTTATAACCTCAAATGTGTGCAGTTTCACTAAGAATAGTGTAAGCTGATCACTTTAATGTCATCTATACTCTCTTTAATTCTTTTTATACTACTTATTTAATCCCTAAAATCCCTTGTATTACCTAACATAAGCAGATTCTCCAAAGTAATCCGTAAATTGATTTTTTTAATTTCATCTATACTTCTTTAAACCCTTTTTCCACTACTGTAATCCCTGTAATCCCTGTAATCCCTGTAATCCCTGTAATCCCTGTAATCTCTGTAATCTCTGTAATCTCTGTAATCTCTGTAATCTCTGTAATCTCTGTAATTTCTGTAATCCCTGTAATCCCTGTAATCCCTGTAATCCCTGTAATTCCTGTAATCCCTGTAATCCCTGTAATCCCTGTAATCCCTGTAATCCCTGTAATCCCTGTAATCCCTGTAATCCCTTTAATCCCTGTAATCCAAGTAATCCCTAAAATCCCTGTAATCCCTATAATCCCTGCAATCCCTGTAATCCCTGTAATCCCTGTAATCCCTGTAATCTCTGTAATCTCTGTAATCCCTGTAATCCCTGTAATTCCTTCTATTACCTAATATGTGCAGTTTCACCAAGAATAGCGTAAACGGATCCATCTCTGTTTAGAATTTGTGGTTTTCTTTTCATGATAATATCTGCAACCTCAGCCCTGCTTTCCTCCAAACCTTCTTCACAAATAGAATATATTTAGTTTTATTCAAGAATGCAAAGTATTTCACTATCCCTCGGATTCACATATTTTCAATTAAAAAAATATGAATTACAAAGTTTGTGTAAAACTCCACTTAAACAAGTTTAATTTTGATTAAAAATTAAAGAATTATAAAACATAGAGTCACGCACCATTTAATTAAATTTAAGTTTCATTAAATAAAGAATTTTTAAAAAATCGGCTTTTTGTGATGCACTCTGCGCCCCTCGTCTGCGCCTTTAAATAACACATACTTAAATTTCTTTTTATATTGGGGGATTTTTAACCTGTTTTAAAAAATCTGATTTTTTATTTTTTTATTTCAACAAAACATGTGAGCATGGGGGAGTGTGTGTGTGTTTAAGATACAAACAAATAACCAATTGCCAAATTTGTATATATATTGTCAACTAATGTAAAAATAAAATATCTAGATCGTATAGAATTAATTAAGTAAAAATTAAACTATTTATTTGATTTTGATATCTACACTGCTAGTTCCCCAGTTCCCACATCTATTCTCATATTAATAGAGCTGGGAAGTTATTATTAACTTTATTGATAGGTATTGGCGTTATGCACATTGCACTATGCACCTTGTAAATGCATCAATACCTTAACTACCTTAAAACAACTTTAACAATTTCTTAAATGAAAATAAACGTGTTTCAACTCCCAATAAATCTATTAAAAGTAAAAGGATATTTTATTGATAAATTATATAAAATGCATTAAAAAAATATTTTAATGCATAGGACAGGGAACAAGACGTCTAAAAGACCTGTCAGGGATAAAAAATATAAAATACAACTTTTTTGTTACTTAATCTATATTTATTATTTGTTATTCTTTTCTTAAATATTCTTAATAAAAATTGTGTGTACAATTTACATCATAGTTTATAATGAAAGGTATAAAAATAGTATTCCATATAATGCTTCAAATATTAAGTAGGGTTTCCAACGTAATAGATTATTCTCTTACGCGTAATTACGTGCAGTTACGCGTAATAATTTTCATTTCGTGTAATTTCGCAGGATCACGCGTAATTGGGGAAATATTCATTTCGCGAAATTACGGCGTAATTTCACGTAATTTCTACAACGTAATTTCGCGAAATTTCGTAATGATTACGCGTAATAAGCGAAACTATAATTACGCGTAATTACGGCCTAATTTCGCGTAATTTCTACGATGTAATTTCGCAAAATTTTGTGTTAATTACGCGTAATTAGCAAAACTTCAATTTCTACAAAGTAATTTTGCGAAATTTTGCAATAATTACGTCTATGAAATTTTGAAGTTTTAACTTTTAATTTAAATAAAACAACTAACTTACAAGGAAAATAATGTCACGCAAGGTGAATCAGAAATTTCAGCCAATACTATGTTGATNTTGGATCTTAAAGTCGTCTTCCTATTCCAGAAATTCATGGTTCACTCTGTACATTCATCCCGTCTCTGTAGGAGGTGGGTGTACATTGTACAATGTACACCATAAACCCCTCTTTTCCCTTTATCTAAGGAAAGAAAGAACCTATCTAGGGTTCAAACTCCTTTATATTCATCCTCATCAGCCTTCTCTGCAAAGACGGCTACCACAATTAAGAACATTCATTAGTAAAACGATCGATTGATTATTTGAGACAAGTTAAATGCAGTATTGCAGCTTTACCAAATACATATATATATATATATATATATATATTTCACTATAGTTTCAGTAGAAGTAAATATTTCCATTTACTGATAGCACCGATTGAAGAATTCATAACTCTAATTGGATTATAATGAGTTAGATAGAGAGATAACTGCTTTACCACCATGCAATTTCTATTGGTTCAGAATAGACAACAGAATAGACTGAACCCTGAATGGATCAGGTGCTAATGGACTCGGCATTCAGGAGTGATTTGTATGTTTGTTACCAAATGCCGGCCAAACAGTAACACTTATAGAGTTGTAACAAAAATGAAAATTGTTACATTTGACATATATATTACAATAATAATCGTATTAGGAAAAGGGGTTGTTTTCAGGAGGTTATTTTCGCCTACATGGTAAAGGCTGGTAGGTATTAAATGCATTGAATCAGTGTATTTTAAAAGTCACGGAAAGAATATGTAAAATCATAAATTTATGTATCTTTCTGCTTTTTCTACTTACCCTTGGTAAAGGTATTTAGTAATTGTCACAAATTCTGATTTTTTAATCCTTATATATTTGCAACTCAATAACGTAAACGTTAGATATTTCAAAATTTGAATTATGTTTGATCATATTACACCATCTGGTTGGCAAAAACTCAATTAACTTTTAGTTAAAATGTTTGAAAATTTAATTAAGTATGTCAATAATGTTGAAAAAATAAAGACACACCAAGTTTAATGACCCAAATCTTCACATAAAAATCTGCAAAACTTAATGTTGATTTGCGACAACAACGTGGTCATATAATAAAATAAATTAATGCTCCGCTTTACAGATACCCGTTTTGAAAAGAATTTGAATAATATGCAAATCATAACTTTCTATTTTCAGATACTATGATAGAACTATGAAGAATACAATTGTATAAAAATTTATATGTTAAATTCCTTTTAACTAAAATGATGTAATTTTTTTAAAGAAGATTTTTTTAGCACAATTAAAACTTTTTTAAGTTGGATAATAATGCAAAGTCATTAAATATTGTTTTGCCAGCCACTTTATTCAGATTTTTTAGGATTTGGTGCAGTCTTGTATTGATCATTTTTGTTTGTTTTAAACTCTATCAAAATAAAATAAGCAATTTCCCGTAGAATTTTTAAAGTAAATTTTTTCTAAATAGAACTAGGTTTGCGAAATATTAGCATTGATTTTGCTTCCAATTTAAAAATTTTCAACCTGAAACGTAAATATTGCGAAAAAAGTGTATCTACAAATTTTTCCAGAATTTTATTGACTTCAAACATAAACTGATCCCAATATGACCATAACCACACACCTAGATTTTATTTTCCTGACTAACCACTATTTTTACACAATTTTAGCAGAGAAGGCCATATCAAATTTTTTTAGTTCTTTTAGTATCTAATTGATTTGTATACAATATAAAAGAAGAAGTAAGTAAGTATCTAATTGATTCGTATACAATATAAAAGAAGAAGTAAGTAAGTATCTAATTGATTTGTGTACAATATAAAAGAAGAAGTAAGTAAGTATCTAATTGATTTGTATACACTATAAAAGAATAAGTAAGTAAGTATCTAATTGATTTGTATACAATATAAAAGAAGATCTAATTGATTTGTATACAATATAAAAGAAGAAGTAAGTAAGTATCTAATTGATTTGTATACAATAAAAAAGACAAAATAAAGTGTTCAAGAAGAAAATATTTTAATATCTCTGCAAATAGACATTTTGAAAGTAAAATTAGTAAAACATTCATTTTTCATTTAAACTTTTTAAGATGGATTTTTCGATAATGAAATCAAAACATAAAAAAAAGATTGTTTACTAATATGTTGAAAACATTATTAAATTTTAACTAATCTCTATTTTTTGGATAGCCCTGCGTCCGAATTTAATGAATTGAAGCCGAGTCTCAAATCTCCGAAAAACCGGTTTCATTCAAGCGCCGGCTTCAATCTTGAAAAATTTAATACGAATTCAAGTGGAAGCAACAAAATTTGAGCCACAGCTTAAATTTAATCCGCGGCTCAGATTCCTTAAATTCGGCCTCTGGTTGAGTGATATCAGTCAAAGTTTAGGAAACACATTTGAAACTCTAATTATTCCATTATAAACTTTAAGTATTTCAAACTGGCCTTGTTTGTCTTTATTCAGCCAAAACTAATTTGGCGATGGAAACTTGNGGGTTGCACGCTTAAATGCCACTTTAATGACCGTAAATTTTAACTAGATGCAGACTGTGTCACCAACTAGCCCTTCCAACAGAGCTAGGTCAACTGTATTGACCCCTGACGTATGTCTGTCATTGTAGTTTGTGTACAGGCGGGGCAGTACAGTAAAGGTCGGTTCAGTTCAGATTTAATTGTTCATGAGTTAAGAGGGGAGGGGAGAGGAAGGGGGTGAATTCATTACAAAATTGTGTACATATGCTGCATGCATGGCACTTGTAAAATATTGCACCGCTGTGGATCACGCAATAGTTAGACTGCAGTGTGTGAAGGGGTGAAGTCGATAAATACCTGTTAATAGGTAGAGTAAGGTTTTCTCCAGTATGTATAACCTGAAATAGTCATCTTTCAAATCAATTTAAACCAATGGTCAATGTCTCAGATTTTGCTCAATATTCCAGGATACCAATTTTAGTATAAACTATTTAGGAAAATCCAATATTGTATTTTTGACGATCTTATAGGTCTTTTTGGCGTTTTAAAATATCTGTTTTGAAATTTGTAATTGAACTCAAGTTTGATAAGACCTAATTCGAGGTCAAAATATGTAATCAATACAAATGAGTCTTATCTTTTTATAACAAATCATCGTTTTTTTGGTGTTCTGAATCCAGTAATGGATCCTGTTTATGCCCTTGACCTCCAAATATAGTTAACCTCCGGAGGTTAAAATTTATTATCTCTTAAATGGATCATGTTAGAAATCATTGCATATTTAATGATTTAAGAGATATGATACTTTCTGTGAAAATATATTTCCCAATTTTTTTCAAAAAATCTGTAAATTATGAAAATAGATCAGCTGTTCATTATGATAAGTTTATCATTATAATTTTTATAATGATAAAATATTTCATATTCATATATATACTTTGCTTGTCTGAGTGTCTCTTTTTTTAGTATCCAAGAACGTCAAATCGGCTGAACCGATCAGGCCCAAATTTTTGTGGAACCGCACGTGACCCCAGGGAAGGTTTATAGATCATCGAATTTTACAAAATTGTCCTCTAACAAAATTCGATTTTTGAAAACTTTGAAAATCCACAAAATTTTTTTATAAATCCGCAAATTTTTTGTTTTGTTTTTGTATAAAAAGGTATAAAAAGAGAACATGTTCACAATTGAAAAAGAAGATGGGCGTGAAGCGCACTTAAAGAGAAGTAGTATATTTAATAAATTAAAAAAAAAAAAATTATAATTAAGGTTTATGCAGGTTACCACAGAAAATTTTAGCCGGTTTAATATTTATCCAAATATTGTCTAAACATTTCTTACTTGACACTTGAAGAAACATATTTTGTGTAAGAATACTTCTAGTTTCTAGAGTCTACTCCCCAATATCCTTAATGTACAGAGAAACTGTACACTAAACCATTACATTACTCTTTAAACATTTCCCAGGGAATAAACTATTTGCTTTTAAAAGTTTAGATACAGTTAAGGAGAGAGAAGCAATAACAGGAAGTAATCGTTTTAAAGAGACTGCAGAGACAAATTCAAGAAACCATTAATTTATAAAGTGGCGTGTCCAATGTTAAACAATACCCTTTAAACATTTATCTAACCTCTGTTAGCCCAATGAAAGACTTAAAGGTACCATCATGAATCAGGCATGCAACGCCTTTAATTGATGATTACACTTAAACTATACAGTTAACAGTCCCTTTCAGTTTACCTTATTTAGATCTGGGTGTTTATACCAGTTGATTGTGGATGGAGGATTGCTGTCTGCTTTACAAACTGGAAATAATTTTTTTTTTTCAAAATCATCAGAACTGATAAAACGGGTTTGTTTAAAAAAAATATCTGGACCTTTTATAAATACCTCTAAATAGGCCTTGTAAAGACTAGAAATAATGTTTTTTTTTGGTGGGGGGGGGGCGTAATAATATATCCTATTTACCAATGGAAGCAATCTCATTTTCGGCAACTACCTCTTTTCTGCTTGAGATACTCACAGTTGGCGGATCTAAAGAAATATATAATTTTTTTTTTTAAGTATTAATTTTAATCCATTAAATGTTTACAAAAACTACTTAACCAAAAACAATTTTACCTATTACGTACCTCACTTTAAAACTAAAAATAGGAATTTTTTAGAGAATTAATTTTATTGTGAAATGGTCCGGTAGGGGGCTGGGCAATAATTCGTTTTAGAATGGAAGTTTTTGAAAAATGATCAAAATGTACGTTTGAAAATAGAACCAATCGTTGATTTATAATAGCGTAAAAACTAACGGTTTCTGGTCAAAAATTGTTAACAAACGGAGGTTTTGGAAAAATAACAGAAAATTACGTTTAAAAAAGAACCAAGCGTTAATTGATAACGTAAAAACTAACGGTTTCTGGGCAAAAGTTCCTTTAAAGAACGGAGGTTTTGAAACAATAACAGAAAATTACGCTTAGAAATAGAACTAAATCGTTGATTTATTAAGTAAAAACTAACGGGTTCGTTACATTGATTTAAGTAATCGATAACGATCAAATTAAAAAAGAAAGCTTAGTCCTTTTGTGTAAGTGGGTTATTGTTTGTATGTGCCCCCCCCCCCGCTCCACTAAACGCTACTATAATGTCGGTCAAATTACTGCAGAACGCACCAAAAGCTTGAGGGTACCCCCCTCCCCCTGAGCCCAAAATGTTTAACAGGGAAACCTTGAGTCATAACTTATGTGATGTGAATCCGGGATCAAGCATTGATCTCCGTCTTGTACAAGATCTACGGACTAATTTAATTTATCGTCGATATCCCGTTAGGTTCATATCCTGCAGGGATAACTGTAACTGTTGGATCAGCATTGATTCTCACATTTAAATTACCAATATTGGAAAACGAGTCCAACTGTTCAAAAACAACAATATCTACACAAAATCTGATAATTTTTTGGTTTAAACATTAGATATTATAAGATATATATCATAAATAACGCCCCCAGGCTCCTACCTGCCCCCCGGCTCTAATGATAATGTACAATTTTCTGTCAATGAAATAAAAAATTTGAAAAATATTCTGAAAATAGATGATCCATTAACAAATAAATGTAATGTTATGTATATGGACTGTTGTCAATTGATACAGTCGGAAATAACGTAATCAGTATAATGAACTGCCATTGGCTGAAGTTCTGGTGACGAAACACGGACTATATGTAATAATATTATCAATTATATCTATTAAAAATGCGAAATGCAAATTAAAAATTATGATAGGAGCAAACCTGAGATTCTCAGGCTCCTGTGGGATATCGTCGTTTTCAGATTGGTTGCGTACTTGTTAAATATGATCTGTTTAATACTACAACTTTTATACAAAATACATATATATAAATTTGACATGGACATTGGACAATGCTTTTAAGGGTACTATTGTGAATCAGACATCTTTGCCTGAGGGTCACTTGATATTACACTTACAGTTCTTAATCTAACTAAATGAATAATATCTTTTTTATAATTTGATCCTGGATTGTATCTGTATGTTTGTTTTAAATATAGTATAATAACCCTAATTCATATTTCTTGTCATATGTTCGTTAATTTCAGAAGAGACCTATTGATCAATACATTTCACCTGTACAGTTACACAAAATATAGCTTAGTTGAATATGAATCACTGTTTTATTACGGTCAGAAATATACCATTGCTCTGAAGAAAGGATAGAGTTTGAGAGAGTTGTATCTGGATTTATACATAATTAAAGAACTATTGGATTAAGGCAATTATCACAAAAGTGGTGACTGCAGATGAGACCTATAAACCCTAGTTAAATGCCACGGAATCCAATGAAGAAAAGTACAGTGAAAACCTGGTTTAACGGGGTAATAAAAAGAAACCCTAGAAGGAGAAACTGTATCAGATGAAACAGTAATGGTGCAACAACAAGTTAAGACTGCAAACAGCGAAAGTGTAACAATGGACAGTTTTGGATTTTGCCCGGATGTGAAGGAAGCTGGAACAGCAGGGGAAACCCCTCTACTCACAGAGTTTCAAATCCTAATGCAAAAGATGGAGCAAATTGAGCTCCGGGTTAGGGATCCAACAAAAAGTGGAAGCAGTGGAGACAAGAAAATAAAATTACTCATTTGTGCAGATGTGGGAAAATAATGCGACACCGTAAACCCAGGATTCCATTGCAAGAGTACAGCCAATGTTAGAGCAGAATAAGAAGACAGATCCGACACAAAGATACCTAGAGAATCTAGATGGATTAGTTACAACTGGAGCAGCAACCACATATACATACCTGAGCTTCGTAAAGCTAATTTTAAGAAAGATATTGTATGGTAATTTTTACCAATCTTACTTTTTTTGTTGCGTCTTTAAGGAGAAAATTGTTAAAAACGACTTAATCCGAAGAAAGTTGCAATATTCTTAACTTGGATCAGAAAAAAAGATCAATTTAATTCCAAACAAATCATTCACATATTACTACCTATAATCATTAATTTTTTCGACGCCTTCGCATTTATTTTAATATTTCATAATATTTTTTACTTGTTTCATATACAATATACTTTAAAGGACGATTATCTGGCCAAATTTTTCCGAATGGAAACCCTACACTCAACTCTTCATTTAATCATTTTCACACAGAGGAGAAGATCAAATTTAGGTGGCATTACAAGTTCGACACTATGACCTCGTAGCTTCTCTAGTTTTGATTTTAAGCACTAGCATGATTAAAGAAAATTTATTCATGGTTACATACTAGAAATTCTTGTTCTTCTTTATAGCTTTTTAATAAAAATTTAAAGTTGACGTTATTTGTCATGCAATCTATCTTAAGTCTATCGATTTATTAACAAAGTATATCTTCTACTGTATATATCTATATATAAATTTGGCTTGTCTGTCTGTTTGTTTGTTTGTCTGTCTGTTTGTTTGTATCCAATAAACGTCAAAACGGCTGAACCGATCGGGCCCAAATTTTTTGTGGGACATCACGTGACCACAGGGAAGGTTTATGAATGATCAAAATTTCAAATATTTGTCTCCATCAAAATTCGATCTTCATTAATTATTAATTCTAATATGATATGCAAATGCATACATACAAAATTTCACGATATGCTGAAAAAAAAACATTAAAATTAGAATGTTAGTATTTATAAATGAACCAGAATAAATTTAATGAAATATAATTTATTTTGTGAATACTTTTTAACCCTTATTTTAACCAGCATATACTCTAATATATTACAATGATTATTTTTTAAAATTTATTTAAACAATAAAATTACATACGTATTTAGACCGGTATCTAATTAATTTTAGGTTTATCAAAATACATTTCATCTGTCATTTTCTCTCTTCAATACCCCCTCCCCCTAGCCCTCCCAAATTCTAAACCTCCAGAATCCTCCTTAAGAAACCTTCAATTCTATCCACCCAACTAATATTTTCGCGCATAAAACGTTAAAAAGACAGCAGTTGTAAATCTAACATCTAACAAAATCTAACACTTGAAAGTAAGTGAACACTCCCTTAAAGAGTACCCCCCCCCTCCCCCTCCATTTTACAAAAACCACATATTTCCCTCAACGAAGGATGTTCCGGGAAGGGAGGAAAACTTTCAGGAAAAACTCTCAAGTTTTTAGAATCATTAATTTAATTAGGATTTCACAACTTTGCAGAATAATTATCAACATTTTACATAAAAAGAGAACCAATAGCTCAACCATAACCAAACTTGAGAGTACGAGGAGAATTTCACTGAAGAGGAACTCCCCCCCCNTCTTATCCTCAATGCTATGATCACCATTGAGTAGGAACCATATATAAACCTAAACTACTATTTTGAGAATATAATTTAAAAACCTGTACACATTCAGTTAATCCAGTTTAAGAATAAGACAAAAAACACTCATACATTAACAAAATGTTAAACAGGCGAAAAATACACTCAAATGTTAAAAAGGCAAAATGTTATACAGGCAAAATGTTATACAGGCAAACTGTTATGCAGGCTAAATGTTATACAGGCGAATGTGTACTAGGCGAACGTGTACTAAGACGAAAGTGTACCAAGTGAAAATGTACCAGGCAAAAAGTTACTGACCCACCTACACCCCTGAAAAGGAACTTTTTATATAAACCTACACCCCTAAATAGGAATTTTTTATATAAACCTACACCCCTGAGTAGGGACTATATATAAACCTACACCCCTATGTAGGGACTATAGATAAACTTACACCCCTGAGTAAGAACTATATAAAATCCTTCACCCATGAATGTGTACTATAGATATAAACCTACACCCCTTAGTAGGGACTATATATAAACCTACACCCTTAAGTATGGACTATATAAACCTACACACTGAGTAGAGACTATATGAACCTACACCCCTGAGTAGGAACTATATATAAACCTACACCACTGAGTAGAGACTATATATAAACCTACACCACTGAGTAGAGATTATATATAAACTACACCCCTGAGTAGGGACTATATGAACCTACACCCCTGAGTAATAACTATATATAAACCTACACCCCTGAGTAGGGACTATATGAACCTACACCCCTGAGTAGGAACTATATATAAACCTACACCACTGAGTAGGGACTATATGAACCTTCACCCCTGAGTAGGGACTATATATAATCCTACACCCATGAATGAGTACTATAGATATAAACCTACACCCCTGAGTAGGAACTGCTGAAAACCATTAACTCCAATTATCTCTACTCTAGAATCCATGTTAAAGAAATAAATTAGAAGAGGGCTTGGAAACAATAGGGGAAAATATGAAGAGGGTTCATTGAAGGTATAGGTTGAGGAGAACTAATATGAAAAGGGTTAATGGAAGGTATAGGTTGAGGAGAACTAATATGAAAAGGGTTAATGGAAGGTATAGGTTGAGGAGAACTAATATGAAGAGGGTTAATGGAAGGTATAGGTTGAGGAGAACTAATATGAAAAGGTGGTTCAGGTAATTCTGTTCTTTACATTTAGTTCTTATTAAAAATCGATGATTTCAAATCAAATCATAAAATAATATTGTTGTATTTATTTGAAAATCTTAGACCAATTAGTTAAATGGTTAGGGGAAGGGAGGGTATTAAAAGATTTACTAAGGTTTTAAGTAATAGATATTTTTTTGTCAATATTAGCATGTAACACATGTTATACTTGTTTATTTTTCAAATATGAAAAATGTTATTTTTTAGGGCCAAACAAACTAAAGGGAAAGCTTAAGGTTAATTGGAGGTCCTGGCAGAAAGTCAGTGTATCTAAACTTAAAACCCATTTTTACTCATTTTCATAAAAATTAACACTATTTTTGACAGATTTTGAATTTGAGATCAGAATATGTATATCTGAAAATATATCAATATACAGACAGGATGTACTTGGCTGTAGTTAGTTTTACGTGCGCCAGCTGTTTTTATAATGAGTGGATTTGCTTTTAGCAAAATCAAATAAACTTTGAATAAAATAAGTTTTCAACTTTGACAAACATTCTTTTTCTAATGGTTTAAATACATCTACAAAATAATGTTCGTTAGTATTGCATGCTGAACAATAAATTAGATGTCTATTCATTATAATTACTAACAATTTACTAATTACTAAAAGGTCTATAATTAACTGTTAAATTGTCAACTAATACTTACAAAGAACTGAAATCCTACGGGAATCTTCTGCCCTCCCCCTGGACAAAAGATTAATTAGATAAAAATTAATTTGAAAAAGAGATTATATTTTTCCTTTTCATAAAGTATTCTTGGACCTATCTTTAAAACCAAACATCAGATCAAAAAGAGACTGTGAACATAATTTCAACTGAACCGTCGTTTTAAGAGGAATATATCGGATTCCGAGCTGTACTCTTGAAACCTTTAATTAATCAATAATGCGGGAGCTAAAAACTTTAATTGATCAATAATTAATGTGGGAGCTAAACACTTTATGTGATTAAAAATGTTGAAGCTAAAAACTTTATGTGATCAAAAATGTTGAAGCTAAACACTTTATCTGATCAANTTTGATCAATAATGTGGGAGTTAAACACTTTATGTGATCAATAATGAGGGAGTTAAACACTTTATGTGATCAATAATGTGGGAGTTAAACACTTTATGTGATCAATAATGTGGGAGTTAAACGCTTTATCTGATCAAAAATGTTGAAACTAAAAACTTTATCTGTTCAATAATGTGGGAGCTAAACACTTTATCTGATCAATAATGTAGGAGCTAAAAACTTTATCTGATCAATAATGTGGGAGTTAAACACTTTATCTGATCAATAATGTGGGAGCTAAAAAATTATGTGATCAATAATGTGGGAGTTAAACACTTTATATGATCAATATTGTGGGAGCTAAACACTTTATGTGATCAATAATGTGGGAGCTAAAAAATTTATCTGATGAAAAATGTGGGAGCTAAAAAATTTATTTGATCAATAATGTGGGAGTTAAACACTTTATGTGATCAATAATGAGGGAGTTTAACACTTTATCTGATCAATAATGTGGGAGTTAAACACTTTATGTGATCAATAATGTGGGAGTTAAACACTTTATCTGATCAATAATGTGGGAGTTAAACACTTTATCTGATCAATAATGTGGGAGCTAAACACTTTATCTGATCAATAATGTGGGAGCTAAACACTTTATCTGATCAATAATGTGGGAGTTAAACACTTTATTTGATCAATAATGTGGGAGTTAAATACTTTATCTGATCAATATTGTGGGAGTTAAAACTTTGTCGGATAAAGAATGATGGAGCAATCTATTAACTTCTCATCAAAAATTGTTTATTTCCAAACGTGGTTTCTTTGTAAAAGGAACTCGCTCATTGTCAAGTTAAAAACCCAAAATTTGTCTCGATATTGTTTATTTGAAGATTTTAAAAGTATTAATCGGTCATGTACTTCTGTAAATGTCCCTCTGTAAATTTCCTTCTGTAAATGTCCCTCTGTAAATGTCCTTCTGTAAATGTCCCTCTGTAAATGTCCCT